AATGAAAGTTCTCATTGATAAAAAAAAAAAAAAAAACTTTCATGTAAGCATATGAAGACAAAATATTTCAACTACAATGACATAACATGACAATGTACTAGTGTATGAAGGAAACAATCATGCACACTAAAATTCCCAGAGCCTTTGTTTTGAAGTTTACAATGATATTCCAAATAGAAACCTATAATTTCAATTTTAAAAAGTCCGACCTGGGTTTCATAAACCATCCCCAAGAAAACAGATTAACAGTCTTCATTGGGGTTTCACAATGATGTCTCAGAGTCAAAGTGAGATGGGTTCCGGATGTAGTGTTGTGAAATAATCAGCCTGCATGTGGGAAAGTGAGATTCTTAGTGATATATTGGCCTGAGAAGCTGTGTCTTAACGCTGGAGACGTTACAAATTATCAGTAGATTATCTCCAACAACTTTGGAACTGATGCTAGTGACCAACACAACTTTTGGCTCATAACCGTAGCTTTCCAATTTCTTATGAAATGCAAAAGCTAGGTCATCGAACAGAGAAATACACACATATTCATATCCCCATACAGTATCAATGAAAATGAAATTCTTGGAGAATACAATATCATACAAAGTTGTGTTGAGGCTACCATTCTAGACACAAGTCAACATTATAGGCTGTGTCCCATGTATACCATCGTTGATTGTGCTCTTGATTGTAATGACCTAGTCAAGAATGTCTTGAAAGTTTTGAAGAAGAGGTCCGTAAGTACGTTGGAGAAATTATAAAGCAAAAGATTTTATATAGAAGTTTAAAAGATCCTACTTTTTGAGAAAGCTACTGCTCGTTCCATACTTGTTGTCGAGATATAAATGTTGACCCTTGGATAAGGGTAGCCTATGACATGCAAGGATGAGTCATAAGAAAACAAATTGTGATTCTCATATTCTGTTTTAAAAAGGTAAAAAAATGTTATAGTCGAACCTTCGAATCAATAAGGACCATAGCAACACACATCAGTTCACTCCCTTTCTTAATATTCTTGGCTTCCCAAAACTGAAGGAGCCTTGTCTGCACATTTTCTCGACAATGCCCGACCTTCAATTCCAAGAAATGAATTAGAGATGCCGCCATGATTTTAGTAATTACCAGAATTTCTGCAGTCAGAAAGGGAAAAATATTAAGCTTATGTTTTCAAGCGATGTATATAACTATATATATACTGAATAGTGGAGTAAAGTCGAGAAGGTAGATTTGAAGCTACATTGATGGAGAGTTTGTGGGAATAGGGGAGGAACTTGATTGCTTGACAGCGTAACATTAACGTTGGATGTGAATGGAAAGGATGACTAAAGCGACAACTGTTTCAAATCTTCAGCGTTAGGATTCTCAGCTTTGAGGAGGAAGATACATAGCGATGGGCTACAACCGTTGATCCAAATAATATTTTTCTCTAGAAAAAAGATAATACCTCGTACATTGCTACCACATAATTAGATTTAATATTACAGCCCAAACAATATTCTAAAGCCCAATTCAATATACATATTTACATTGCAACACACAAAAAAATTTGGAAAGAGGGGGAAGAATCAAGGGTTGACAGGTGACGCAAAATGCCCACATATTTCTGCTGATGTGGACACATGAGAAGTTACAAACTAACTTTATTATATACTCCAACCCTCACTATACTTTTCTTTAGAACAACCCTAACCATATTTACCATTCATTATACCACCACTATCACTTACCATCGTTAATCTCGTTAAAATTTATGGTATGCACGTTTTAATTTATTATCTTTCTCAGACAACGATGAAACTAATGGCGGTACTATAAAAAGATCTAGAATCCGTGAAGCCACCGAATCGGAAGGAGTTGCAGTCGTCGTAGAAAAAAGAAAATGCAGTCTGAAAAAGTTTTGATAATGATAACAACATTCGATTTTCTTTTGGTTGAGTTAACAAAGTGAGTTGGATTTGAGTTAGCTCAGCATACCAAGGAATCCCAAATCAGAAACATTAAAGTTACATGGCTAATAGAGAAAACCAAACCATACAAATATGTAAACAAAGAAAGAGACAAAGAAACCTAGCAAACCTACTAAGTCCCAAGCGTAAAAGCTATCGATTCACGGCCACAGTAGTTACCGACACAGACACAGAAGGCTGGCGAGGACTCAACAGCCATCGATTCACGGCCTATTAAGCAAAGACTCTTCTTATTTTATTTCCGAAGATTTATTTGTTTCTAGGGCATCTCTCTTCTACAAACTTCAGTAGATGAACACCTAAAGACCGTTGTTTTCAATTAGATAGAGAAGAAATGATAAAACTTAAGATTAAAGATACTTTCAGTTGCAAGAAATTAACTTTACTTTTTGGTGGGAGAGAGTTAACTGGATTTAAAAGAAACAGTTAAATTACTGTATTAGTAAAGTATTAGTACAAAGTATAAGATTTTAGAAAAATGTTTTGCAAGATTTTGCTTTCACATAATTATAGTAGTATTAGTAGGGGTAACAGAGTCACAAATAATTAGACACATAAGGCCAACAGTGGAATTTGGTAGGTTGTAAAATAGGCAAAAGTTTTTGTGGTAGTAGTCCTAATTTCTTAACTATAAAATCATCAATATTGTATTTTTATAATAAATTACTAGGTGGACAGCCCGCACGCCTGTGCGGACATTAATATAACTATACATTGCATAAAAATTGATATGAGTGTTTAAATGTATTATAACTTTCTTTCTCTTCTACGTAGGTATTCCGTTTTTCCTTGTATATCTTTCCATCTTATTCATTTCATTTTTCTTGTTCTGTTTCACACACATTCATTCTATCTCTTTTGTATCTCTCTTCCCGTTCTTTTTGTATGTCATTGTACTTCTTTCGCTTGCTTTCCCTTTTTCTCTCTTGATCAAATAATCTCAAAATCTTTCAAACTTGCATCCACTCTCTCACAATCATTTATATTAGCTCTTTTACCCCATCTTTATTATAACCCTCAATATTTTACTTTCAAACTTTTTCTCTTTTTTTTTTTGTTACAAAATTTTATCAGATTTTGTTAAATCTTCAAAACACTCTCACATAATATTAATAAATGAATTCATGATCTATCTCACTTACATTCAGTCTCTCACTTATTTCACTATCATATCCATCATGATTATAACCCTCACTCTTCATCAATATCTCTCCCTCTCTCACCTATTTTGTATTTAGCTTCTAACGTAAAACTTACAATTGAACTTACAACAAGTTAACCAAATAAATTTATTATTAACTTTTCTCTAATTTTTACACTATCTTATCAAATATTGATTCACTTGACCAAGATTTTCATTAGAAAATAAATATTTTTTTTAAAAAATATTATTTTTTAAATTACTTTAATACACACCTATTTCAAGTAAATCTGAATTACTGTATTCCAACAAAAATATGATTAACTAATTATATATCCTAAAAATATCTAAATTTTTAAATAATGTGATGTCATTAGACATAGATATATCAAAATAACATGTTTCTATTTGTATAAATTTTGTTATAATTTTGTTATCATACATTTTCAAAAATTATTATACCGCCAAAATACTTCTCATTATTTTAAAATAATTTAATTTAAAATTTAATTTATGTTATATTTTTTATTTTCATCATTAATAAATTTAGAACTTATCATTTATATTTATCTTCCTTTCTCATTTTTAAATATTTTATAAACATCTAAAACTAATTAGTTTACAATTATAATAATACGTAAAAAATATTTTGGTATACAAATACATATTTAAATATTTTTGGATCATCATTTTTGTCGGACAAACTAAAATTTGCACATATCCGATTCTATTTTAATAATTTATATAATGTAATCTATGATAATAAATTGCTTCAGTGAATAAATTATGTTAATTTGTTTATATTTAAGATGTTTGGTTGTTTATTTGGTAAGATAGTTAGATAAGGTAATTCTATTATTACTTTCCTTTTAAAAGTTTTAATTAAGTAAATAAAAATTCAAATATCAACAACCAATCAAATTAAGAGAATTAATTCTAAACTTCAATATAGTAGGATAATATAGTAATAAATCAGTGAGGATTATAACTAGGGCTGTTCAATATGGTGATACCGAACCGTACCGAACTGAAATAGACAATATGGTTTGGATTTGGTATATACCATATAAACCGAATGGATATGATTTTATAAAAACCGTAGGATTTGGATATGGTTAGGTTTATAACCGATTAAATCGAAAAAAACTGATCAAAGAAAAAATATATAGATATATACATTATATAACCATTTATTTTCTTGGAATAGTCTTTTTATTTTTTTATACCTTGTGAAGATATATATTTTAATAATTTTATTTTATTTTCTTCAACTATTATCTAAATTTGATTTGATTTTACATGTTGTAAGAAATTGTGAAATTATATTGTACCATGTAATTTATTTGGAAGAACAAAGAGAAAATAAGAAAAGCTATACAAAACTGAATTGTTGATTGTTTTGTTTGTTTTTAATTTCACATTTTTATATTTATGAACACCTAGGATTATTTTAATAAATTATAGTTTTGACAATATGTTTTTTTGTAAATTCATATAATATGAAACCAAATCAAATAATAATGTTATTTGGTATAAAACCGAATAAACCGAAAACCGGTAGTATAAATACCGAACCAAACCAAATTAAATATGGTTCCAATATGATAGCTAATTTTTATAAACCGAATAACCAAAAACCGAGAAAAACCAAACCGAAACCGAACCGAACACCAGATTGAACTAATTATAAGTCATTGTTGGTTTGGTTGGTCTCAACGAAATGGGGTACGTTTGTAGAAAAAGCCCACGCCAGGCCCAGTTTTCTCCGTAGAAAGTTTCAACTTTAATCGTACTATATCTTTCCATATTTAGAAAAACATTCTAATAATAGTAAAGAAAAAGTCAACACTGTGTAACAAATCAATTTTGAAATAATAAAATTAGGTTAAAATCGAATTGGGGGAAAACTCCATGAAACTTGGAGTAGAGAGAGAGCCAAACCACATAAACCAAACGACCACCCAAAAATGTCTTCTTCTTCTTCATCTCCGTCTCCGATCTCGTCCGAGACGACCACGATAACAAAAGAAATCGATCCCACCAACGTATCCCTTGTCGAAAACTTCCTCAAATCTTTAACTTACCCAGACTCCTCCCTCGACGATTTCGCCTCTTTCGACTCTTTCTCCGTCTTGCTACAAAACAACATCAGAGCTCTCTCCGTCGAACATGGCCGTATCACGTGCTCCGTCGTCGTCACGCCTGCCCTTACCGTAAAAAAGCTTCTTCCTTTCTTCATTTAAGTCAAATGGGTCTCGTAAAGTTTCAATCTTTTAATCAAAATCTACTGCTTTTGTTGTTTTTGTGTGGATAGAATTACTTTAATGGGTTACATGGAGGAGCAGTGGCATCAATTGCAGAGAGGTTATCAATGGCTTGCGCGAGAACACTCGTGTCTGAAGACAAACATCTGTTCCTCGGTGAATTGAGTATGTCTTATCTCTCTGCTGCTCCTGTTTCGGTAAGCCCACATAACTAACTGGTCTCTCTTATTTTTAGAGTCTTTAGAGAAAGCTTATTGCTGTGTGTGAGATTTGCAGAGTGAAGTGGTGGTGGAAGGATCAGTGGTGAGGAGTGGGAGGAACCTGACGGTGGTGAATGTTGAGTTCAAGATGAAGGACACCATGAAAGTCACTTACTTAGCTCGTGCTACTTTTTACCAATCTATCATCTCCAAGCTTTAAAGCTTTTGTTGAGATCTTTATTTTTCTATTCAATAAAACAAGAGTCTGTTTATGTATACAGATTAGTTTGAACCCACGAGATATATAATGAGCATTACTACTTTTTTTCTACCTTCAATCACTTTAGGAAACTTTACATTTGCAACTAAGACGAAATTGCATACATATTGACCAGAGTATATGACATGCTGAGAGATCTTTGAATTCTCTGAAGTAGTAGTGGTGAGTTCAGTGGTTTTGAATTGATATAGATTGAATGGCAGGGAAGGGATAGAAGATCTATAGACGAGCATCCATGAAACCGGGTTTACGTCTCAGGAGAATACTGCTCTGACAATTGGATTCTCTAGCTAGCTTGTGGAAGCATCAAGGAGGATCTCCTGAAGATGGAGACTTGGGGAGCATTGATCGGTGTTCTGCCACAACAGCTACTACGCAACTCTGTATTTTGATGTCTGAACAAATAAAACAAAACTGTGACACCTTGAATGTTGATTACCAGCGATCTGATTGTTGCATCTGGAAGTATCTTTGAAAATATACTATTTCTAGTAAGTATGCATTTCTATAGAAAAAATTAAATCGGGTTTTAAAAATAAATATAGGTCAAGGAATTGTAAACTTATTCATTCACAAAAATAATGTACAAATCCTAAATGAATATTTGTCTCAATAAGTTTTGCTCTCTTTTGTTTTATTCGAGTTGATTCGCGTTTGTTCACAATACTGATTTTCACATTATGAATTATTCTCTTTTATAAGATGTTTCAGTCTCTGTTAATGATTCATATTAGGGGTGGGAAATTTGAAGTATCGGGATCCATGATTTTAGTATCCGGATTCGGATTCGTGTCTTCCGTCTATATATTGTGATATCCGCGGATACCCGGATTCATAAAAATAATTCAAAAAATTTAAACAAAAATCAAAATTATAAAAATAATACATAAACTAAATATTTATGCATAATTTATGAATATATATATGACATATAATATTATTAATATAAAAGTATAATATTATTAAACTCATTTTATGTATAAATATTAATGTAACAGATATAATTAGTAATAAAATAAAATAAAATTAATATAATTTTTTAAAATACAGATCCGAATCTGGATATCTGGACCTAAAAATTAAGATATCCGGATTCGGATTCGTGTCTTCCGTCTAGATATTGTGATATCCGCGGATACCCGTATTTATAAAAATAATTAAAAAATTTAAACAAAAATCAAAAATTCTAAAAATAATACGTAAACTAAATATTTATGCATAATTTATGAATATATATATATATATGACATATAAAATTATTAAACTCATTTTATGTATAAATATTAATGTAACAGATATAATTAATAATAAAATAAAAAAATTAATATATTTTTTTTAAATACGGATCTGAATCCGGATTGGACCTAAAAATTTAGATATCCGAATCCGGATTCGGTTTGCACGGATCCAAGATTTTACTATCCGAGTTTTGATCCGGACACCCTTGGATATTCTAATTTAGGAGCGGATCTCGGATCGAATCCGGATCCCGGATAATAGTCTCAGCCTTAATTCATATGGATATATAGGGTTTGATTGGCTGAAACTATGACTTATTTGGTTTTTTTTTCTCAATGATTTATGCTGTAAATTTTTAGCTGTAGTTTTGAATATATTTTTTCTGTAGATTGTTTTCTAAGAGACTGAATAAAAACTCTAGAGATTTATTTCCATATAGATAATATACTAGGTAATTATCCGTGTCTTGTGTGGAATGAGATTATTAATTTTATTATTTTTAAAATAAAAATATATTAAATCTGTGTAGCCTGGATATTGGTTCGGTTTGAGTTTGTATTTTTTGTTTTAATCTCATAAAAAATAACTATCATTCTCAATCCATTTTTTTGGTTAGTTAGGTTAAAATGTTTGATGTTTTTTGTTTTCCCCCTGATAACAAAAACCTATTATATAAATTGTAGACAGTTATGATGTCGAACCAATGGTTTTCTATTATAATTTCTAAATGCATGCAAAATCAAATAAAATCAAATCTAGATCATCGTTTAAGGAAAATAAAATAAAATTACCAAGACAAATTATTTCATTACAATTTGATCGATGATGAAAGAAAGCATTAACAAAATATTCAAACTTCCAAGATAATTAGAATCATCACTTATGCTGAATATTTAGTTATATAGTCGCTTACGTCAATGTGTACATGTTTGTGTATGTAAAATTATATATATATATATATATGTGATAAATATATGAAGATACCACTAATTAACATTAAAAGAAATATTTTCATTCAAAATAACACATGATAGTAAAATCCTTAAAATAAAACTAAGTAAAAGTAAAATAGACATAAAACTTAGTAAAAAATCCTTATAAATAAAATCAAATTAATTGTGTCCACATAGTAACCCTTAATCAAAATAAGATATGAAGATGTTCTCTCTAAAAGCAAAACATTATCTTAACCGTTAAATTTTTTATTATTACGCACAATATTCCATATGTATAGAAAAACTTAAATAAAACCATAAATTTACTACAATAAGTATAAAATATCCAACAAAATTAATAAGAAAATATTACATTATAGTAAACCAAGCAGACAATTATCGCTTAAAGAAATGCACGAAAAAAAATAAAATGTTGTTGATAAATATACTCTATTGTTGATTCAACTACTCATGAGTTCATTTGATCAGGACAATAAAAAATTATCAAGAAAAAAAACAAAAAAAAAACAACAACCTTGAGTTCCAGCAGGTTTCATGGAATATATTTTGGTAGTATTGGAGGTTCAAGATCAAATAAGCTCAATATTAATTTTGTTGTAATGTTTATTTTTGTAATATTTTAACTTGTGTAGTATTTTATATATTTTGTGTATATGTTTATTATTGTTTTTTTTTATTTTTTAGTTTCTTGTATTTTGTAATTATTCGCTGTAATATTAGCCTTGTATAATACTTGTTGTAAAAATATATTGTAAAATGACAAAAATAGTTAAACAAAAAAGTTATTAACTTTATTTGAAAGTTACACAAATATACAAGGATCAAAAAAGTAAAGAACGTTAAATATAAGGTTTTAGGTACAGTAAAACATTATACTTGAGATTTCATATAGTACAAAACCTTATAATCTAAGGTTTAGAGATTGATTTTAGAATGTACAAAACCATTTTTTTTCTTTTTTGAATGTACAAATCCTTATATTTAAAGTTATAAGGAGTTTTTAGAGATGCTTTAAATCACGGTGGAAAATAGGACACTTTTTGTCAGATTATTCACTGTTTCACTCCAGTTTGCTTACTAGTTTCCTAGGAATCTCTCGCGATTGTTGTATTATGCGCGTTTACAGTGTGGCTATCTTTGCTCCAATAAAAGTGATAGGTAGCTTAGAGATTGGGCTATCCAATTGTTCAGTGAATCTGATGTGTTTGTTTCACAAGCTCTTAATTGACGTTAAGGTAGGTCTACTTTGGTGTTCAAAAAAAAGAGGTAGGTCTACTTGTTGCATATGGTCTTTTTTTTTTTTTTTTTTTGGTCTAAATGTTAAGATGCATATGGTCTTTACCGTCATTGGTTTGTGATTACGTATGCTAAGTAAATATGTAGTGAAACTGTTTGCTTATGATACAAAAAAAAAAGTTAACCACAATCTGTACACACCTCCATATCTATAGAGCAAGCGTAAGTATAAGCAGACGACAAGTAAAACTACCAACAAATACCATTTTAATATTACACGAAGCTAAACCCCAATCATTTATTACCAACAAATCTCTATAATATTATTTGAGAAGTCACTTTCTTAGGTGTCGCGCTCACGTTAACTCTCACGCTGGTTGATTACTATGATACCCTTAATGAATTAAAAATATATTTAAATATTATTATTTCCTTTTTAAGATCTTCCAAATAACAATATAAAATAAAAAGAAAATATTTCTAAAATTTACAAAACTATTTAAAACGGAAAATAAGTATATATATAATATGGTTTCATAAAAAAAAAAGTTTACAAAATAGTAATATTTAACTTAAATATATTTTTAAATAACATAAATTATACTTTTAAGTAATAAAATACTTTATATCTATATCTTCTTAGATGAAAAAAATATTTGTATATAATGTGTTTTCATTAAAAAAATTCATACAGATAATCTTGATATTAGAAAAGAAATATTTTTCTTTAAAAATAATTTAAACAATAAAATATATATTTTCAAATTAATTATTTTTTGATATATCTATCTATTTTATTAGATTATTACATAAAATAATTAAGTAACATAAACTAATATATGTTTAATTGGCAAAAAATTATAATTAGTATTATTGAAATATTTTTTTAGTATATTTATTTGATTATAATATCATACAATTACAGCAAAAAAATATAAATTATATTTTACTTATATAATATAATTTCTCAAAAAAAAATCACATTTTTACTACATATTTTAATAGATGTTAAAAACAAAACTAAAAATAAATTTAATAATAAACATCTTTTGATCAAATAACTACAATTCTTTTGATATATCATAACACTATAATTTAACAAGGTAGATATATTATAATTAATAGTTAAAATTATCTGTTTTCTTAATAACTCTTTTGATGTTTAATTTTCTGTTTTTATGTTTGTGGAANTGTTCATAAGCTTTCAAAAATTTATTATTACTTATGTAATTTAGAATCAGACACTTTAGTTTTTATTTTTTTCGTTCTAAGCACAAAAAAATCTTAAAATACATAATCTTACTAAGATATACTTATATTTCGTAGATAACAACCAACATAAATGTAAATAAAATAATTAATCAAAAATTTAAGATATTTAGAATAAAAAAAATTATAGTTTAATTCATAGAATAGAAAGAATCTAATATATATATATATATATATCCAAATGATAATACTGACTAAATATAATATATATAAAATTTTAATAACTAAAATATATAATATTATTAATACAAATTATACATACAAACTATAAATTAATATAAAATTTAAGTAAATGTCAATCAACTATTATAATATATTTATTTCTTAAATATTTAAGCCCGTGCAT